TATTATCTGCAAAATTTCTAATCTAGCCTACCAAGTCAATGACTAAGCCAGTATTTTCCTAAAGGAAAAATTTTTCTTTCAAAAGGTATATATGCCAAAGCTTCTTTTTCCTAGGTTTTTGTTAAATTTCAAAAAGACACAACCTTTGCCATTAGATAACAGTTCAAAAATGAAAGTAACGCATGAGGAAGTTTTGACTTAAAATATATAGAAGATGATCGTTGGCTGCTATAAATCAATGCTCTGCAGTCATCTACCTTCTTCTTCATTTTTAGCCTTTTCTTCGCCTGCTTTTTGTTTAAGACTAGAAGTGAAGCTGAGTGCTTTCATTGCGACTAATTTTTTTTGAAGTAATCTACTTTGGTTATTCTTCTTTTCCATTAAGATACTTTTTATTAGAAAGGATAGAAAATCTTACAGTAGCTTTAAAATTTCTATTTCGGAATCGTTCCACTGCCTTCTAACAACTCATACCAAATTACTGGCTGTTAATGGTAGCATGAAATAAAACATTTTTAGAAACTGTTGCGCCTTTTCAGATTTGGAAAGAAGGTTGCCGTTATGGACTTCGTGAAGCCTTCTCCTCAAGGTTCTTCCTGGGGATTGGGTGGTACTTGCGTGAACGTCGGGTGCATCCCGAAAAAGCTTATGCATCAAGCTTCTTTGCTTGGGCATGCTATAAGTGAGTTTGTTTTCAGTTTTCATTTCTAACGTCGATGTTTTCTTTTAGTATTCTCTGATTTGCAATCTTTGAAAAGTTGAGTTTTCTTGTTTGAACTGATGTTGCAACCACGGAATTATCTAGAGTTGAGGATTCAAAGTGCTTGGTGTATATGTCAATATCGATAGTATTCGTTTCATTCTAGTAGTGAATAGGTTTTTGTAAACTTTTTCTACAGAAGATGCGAAAATGTACGGCTGGAAAATTCCGGAAGGCGAAGTCACACATAACTGGAAGTTGCTCAGAGACGGTGTGCAAGACCATATAGCTTCGCTCAATTGGGGTTATAGAGTGCAATTACGAGAGCGCGAGGTAAATTGCTCATCTGGGTTTAATTTGATATTTCCTATATTGCTCTTTCCACAATATCTGCTCTGAGTTGTCTAATGCGTTAATTTAGGTTACTTATATCAATTCTTATGCTACATTCTCTGGGCCGTTTGAAATCACAGCAACTAATAAGAAAGGTGCAACAGAAAAAATCACAGCCGATCGTTATTTAATAGCTACCGGACTTCGTCCTAGATATCCGGAAAACACTCCCGGTGCGAAAGAATACGCCATTACTAGGTAAGTCACCGATCTATTGGAAGTCGGTCCCGCTAATTGCTTTGGCTTTCTTTTAGTGACGATTTATTCTCGTTACCATATCCACCTGGGAAAACACTTTGCGTAGGTGCTTCATACGTGTCACTAGAATGCGCTGGATTCTTGAAGGGTCTGGGATTCGACGTCACTGTAAGTTTTCATTCAGAGACAATCTATAATAAAGTATAAATCTAGTACAGGTCATGGTTCGTTCAATTCTTCTAAGAGGTTTCGACCAAGATATGGCTGAACGAATACGAGCACAGATGAAAGATTATGGAGTGGTGTTTGTGGGGTAAGAATTTTTTTTGATTTCCGAAAGTTTATCTTTTTAGCCATGCATCTTTTGCAGGGCTGTCCCTAGCAAATTTGAAGAATTGGAACCGAAAACTAAGAATAAAGCAGGTAGAATTAGAGCTTATTGGGAAGAAACCGCAGAGGATGGCACAAAAGTCGAAAAGAGTGAAGAATTCAATACAGTAAGATCTGCTTCTCCTACTCCTGGAGCTAGTTTTACCCTAACTTTCGATTTAGGTGGTCATGGCCATAGGTCGAGATGCAGAAACGAAAGGTCTTGGATTGGATGTAATAGGAGTGGAAACGAACCGTTCCGGAAAGGTAAGTAGGAGCAGATCATGCGAAATGGTTTCTCTTTATCAAATGCTCCTGCGCAGGTGAAAGGACGCCGTGAGCAATCGTTAACATGTCCTTATGTTTACGCAATTGGAGATGTCTTGGAAGGAGTACCAGAGCTAACACCTGTGGCTATACAAGCTGGTAGAGTGTTGATGAAGCGGTTGTGCGCTGGAGTGGATGATCTTGTGAGAGCTTTTACTGGTCTTTCTAGTTCTTTTTGATTAATTGGTGTCATTTTATCATTACCAATCATTCTCAGACGGAATATGACGATGTCCCGACAACTGTCTTCACGCCGGTAGAATATGGCTGCTGCGGTCTCTCCGAGGAAGTACGAGAATTTACAGATCAACTCCCAGAATACTTTTTTTATCGAATAAACAATTAAGAATGCAAACAAGCATTATGGAAAGGAAAATGTCATTGTGTACCACGCTGCGTTACTGCCACTGGAGTACACTGTTGCAGAAAGAGCCGACAAGGATCATTGCTACTGTAAACTGATTTGTTTAAAGAATGAGAAAGTACGTGCTTATTTTTTCTTTGTCCATGTTTAACATTAAAGACATTTATCTAAGGAACGGGTTGTGGG